CGTTGCGGGACAACCCGGCAACACAGGCGGGGATTTCCCGAAGGAGGAGAAGCTGGGCCGCCTCGGGCCGGGCAGGACGGTGGGGAAGTGAGGCGGATATCCCGAAACCCAGCTGGGATGGACGCATAGGCGACGAGGCCAGCTCCCCTCGGGGATGGATACCTGGGGACGCCTGTTTTCAGAGCAGCCTGTGAGCCTGGGGGGCACAGCAGGGAGGTGGCCGCTGGAGGACGCTTAATATTAGCGGGCATATCAGTGGGACAATTCCAGGTTGTCCTGGCTGTGGCTAGTTTAAAAACAGAGGGGTCCGGGCAGCGAAGAAGAGTGACAGCCCCAGGATTTCCTCGGGGAATGTGCCGTTCTTCCTAGAGGGGCGCGGTCATCCATTCCCTAGAGGACGCCTGAGAAGCCATTTAACATGGGTGCCTTCGGCTGTGAGGCTCCACCCAAGCTGGATGTGCACAGCCCCGCCCCGCTCTGTTTGTACACGGCGGAAAATAAAAGTACGGCTGAGCTGGCTGCGGCCCCGCCGGGTTGCCGGAGTTTCCTCGGTCCGCAGGGCAGCCAATGGCTCCCTGCACCTGAGCCCGGCGCTTCCCTCCGAGGGCGCCCTCCCGATTGGGCATGCGCGCGAGGTGGGGGCTGGTTTTTGGTCCTCTGCCCCGGGGAGGAGGCTGTTGGAGAGAACCTTATGTTTCTCAGCAACCTGGTCTTCCCCAGACCCCTGCGTAGTTGGTCGCTCTCCCGAGTCCTGCAGGGGAGAGGGGAGCAGTCAGCAGCATAGCCTGTGGGAGGTAGATGCTGAATAGCTGAATTGAGGTTTCTTCCTTTCAACTTTTTCAATCCAATGTTGAAAAAAGCTTTATACCCACTTAATCCGTGGCCCCTTCTTAGGGTCAAATCAGTTTCCTTTTATATGACTGATACTACAAACAGAAGTCAGAATGGGCCTTGTAATTTGTTCAGCAGAGGGTAGATTTTATGTGACTTTTCTAAAACAAAAATGAAACAAAAGTTGGAGATGTTTGGTAAAACAAGAAAATACAGTTTAACTACAGAAGTCAAAACTGTGAAACTTCGGATGCATAAGACTATTAGCCACCCCACTCTTGTGTTAGACTCCTTCCCTTTCTGTGATATGAGGATGATCTTTCTGTTTGCCTCAAAATAATCTTACAAGGTTGAATTAGTTTCGTGAGGCTTCTGTAACAAAGTACTACAAACTTGGTGGCTTAGAACAAGAGGAATGGATTGTCTCAGTTCTAGAGACCAGATGTCTGAAATCAAGGTGTTGGCAGGGCCCTGCTAACTATGAAGGCACTAAGGAAGGATCTCTTCCAGGCCTTTCCTAGCTTCTAGTAGGTCCTTGGCTTGTGGTGGCAGAACTCCAACCTTATCTTGGCATGTCTATTCATATTTTCCTTTTTCATAAGGACATCAGTCAGATTAGGGGTGCAACTGCTTGGGTATGATTTCATCTTTATATCTGCAATAACCCTATTTCCAAAAGAGGTCATATTCTGAGATACTGAAGGTTAGGACCTCAGCATATGAATTTGCAGGGTACATGATTCTATCCATAACACACCAAGCAAAGCTCCAACCCTCGATCCCCCATCCCCACCCACCCCTATCTTACACGTTCATTTTGGACCTCTCCAGAAGACCACCCTGGGCCCTTTGCATTGCTCTCATTTTTTATCTCTTTTTCCTTAACCTTCATTAATCTCTTCTAGATTTTCAATTTCACTTATTTCATTTTTCCTGCTACTTCCTTTGTAAATTAAATATTACAGTTTCTAAGAGCATCTTCTATCTTTCATTTGGATGTATGACTTGAAACTAGCAAAAGCAGCTGATGTAGTTTTGTGACCTTCTACCCAATGCTAGTTTAGGTGCCTTTTTTTCTGCTTAAATCCACAAGCCATCCCCTCAGCCTTCCTACCAATTAAAAACCAGAGAGCTGTCCAGGCATACTGCACAGGGAGTCCCAATGTATTGATATGTAACCATAGTGAGATGCAATACTGTAGTCTCCCTTATCCACAGGGGATATATTCCAAGACTCTCAGTGGATTCCTGAAAGCACAGACAGAACCGAACTCTGTATATACTATGTTTTTTCTTATGCATACATATCTGTGATAAAGTTTACTTTATAAATTAGGCACAGTAAGAGATTATAATAACTGATAATAGAACAATTAGAATGATATACTGTAATGTTATGTGAATGTTCTCTTTCTCATAACCTGTCTGATCACTGAAACAGCAGCATGAATATGCTGGACAAAGGGATGATTCATGCCGTGGGTGGGATGGCAGGAGATTTAAAACTTATGAATTGTTTATTTCTAGAATTTCCCATTTAATATTTTTGTACTCTAGTGTTCTGTACAGCCGAGGAAAGTGAAACCACAGACAGCAGGGGACGACTGTACTGATTGCTACACGCAGAAGTGGACTGGTGGGATGCCTACCTCTTTCACGTGCATCAGTTCCCCTCCCTTCCCTTTTCTTTTATTATAAAAATATAACATTTTTCTCATATCTTTTCTTCATCTGTTTATTCTAAAGTTATCTGTATGAGGCCTTCCTTAGCCACGTTATGTAAAATTTCAAAACTATTCCACTTCACATCCTTACTTCCATACTTTACTTTTTCCTTACCACTTATCACTAAGATATATTTTGCTTACTGTCTGTCATTCCGATTTTAATTTAAGCTCCCCAGGGCAAAAATATTTGTCTTATTTACCATTATATTCCCAGTGCCAGAACAATGCTAGCACATAGTAAGTGGTCAATAAAAACTTGTTGTATTACCGAAAGTCTATTCTTTCAGAGTTTTTATTCTGAAAGAGAACAAGAATGTTGTTATTATTCTCTTCATAAACTCTTAGCACCTTACCAAGTAAATTTAGTTATTCAGTAAATGTTTATAATGATGATAGCTGCTATGTTGTTCCTTTCTTAAATTATGAGTCCTCCACTGGATGGAGTCTAGTCTTTGTACTAATTTATGCACTCATTCACTCAGTAGAGATTTCCTGGGTGCTTAGTATGTATCAGGCACTCTAATAGGAACTAGAGATAAAATATAAACTATAGCTCCCACCCTCAAAAATTTTATATTAGAAAAATTGCTTTGAAGATACCTCTGGTCATTGATCACATAAATAGCTTGAAAATATTCACCTGATATCAAAATAATTTTCCAGAAGTAAACCTACTAGTGCCCATGCTCCATGTTAGGCAGTGGTGAAGGTTCAATTAGGCCTGCGACACAATAAAGAAGAACATTCTGACCCAGTGCAGACATTTTCAAGTTCCATTTAAAATATATATTTATAAAGTATCACAGATTTATCTGAATAACAATTTATTGTTGCAAATTGATTTATGATTACTCAGTAGCTTTTGTGGGGTGTGGGAAGAAGTATCAAGCAGAATGTTTATTAGGATCAGAAGCACTACACTTTGGTAAGGGTTATAACATAACTTCATCGATGCATATAACCTTCCAGAGGTTAAAAAGGTGATTTAAATTCTTTAAAGGAAACGTATTGGGAGGGGCAGAGCTAGAAGAAGTAGAAAGGGAAGGTTCTTTAGAAGAATAATAGGGAACTAATTGCCTCTTCTTCACCATGATGCTCTGAATATCATTTAAGGGAATCTCTCCGGAGTAGTTAACTGAACTTTGCAGTGATAACTGAACTTTGGTAGTGAACAGTCTTCTGCCTAAACTCTATTTTTAAAAGGCCTCAGTGAAATTAGGCTAGTCCAGGCTGAACAACTGAAATGTCTTAACCCTAGCTCACTGTAACCCTAAACCTACCCCCACTCCTGCTATTTACTTAATATAAAGATTTTTTTAAATCTTATGAAACCTAAAATTTTTTTTCACACTATAGCACCTCAAATTGACTAATGCATACATATTGCAAACAAATATATACCTAGATTGTATACATGTTTTTAGATGGGATAAAACATTTTACAATCAGTCAAGTAGTTATTCATCTCTTCCAAGCTCAGCACTGTGCCAAGTGCTATAAGAGACAGCTACAGATATGTATTATGAAAAACAAGAGTACAACCAGTCTATTTTTAAAGTCTCTTTTTGTTGGAAAATCTCCTAAGCCTCTGAGTGCTAATATATAAAGAAAATTAGCCAAAGAAGTCAAAGATGATTTTATAAGAAAAGGTTATAGATGGATAGAATTTTGGGGGGAGATGATGGGAAGTAAGGAATCTAGTTGGAGAGAGAAGCAGCAGGGAGCTATTGGAGGGTTTTAAGTTTGAAAATGACAGAGTGAAGTATATTTTAGTAGTTGCAAAGTGGAAAGTGGCTAAGAATGAGATCTAGACTGGAGGCTGGAAGACTGTTAGGAGACTGCTGTAATAGTTCATGTGTGAATTGAGCTAAAATAGAAACAGTGGGGATAGAGAGCAATGGGCAGTCTTGAGACACATTAAAGAAGTGGTATTGGCTTGGTGACTGATTAGATGTGTAGCATGGTTTATGTTAAATTTAAAACTGCACTATGTGGGAGGTATGATTATCTCAGCTATACAAATTATGAAACATGCTCAGAGAGGTTAAATAATTTAACTTAGAATCTATAACTAATTAATAAAGGAAACAAGTAAAATCTAAGCCTCTCTAACTCAGACTCGCACTGCAATAATACACAGATAAATGTATTGAGGGAAAATTTATTGTGTGTGACCTCAACAGACTAAAAAATAATATTGTTTTGTAAAATATCTTTATTTGACGCAAGGGTTTGTTGTGTATATTTCTTTCCTCCTACTTCTCTGAAATTTACAAGTATAAAAGACAATCTCTGTACTATCATATTTTATTATGAATATTTAATAAAGCTAATTTTGTTTAGGATATAGGCTCAGTTATTCTTGAAATAATATTCAACCTATTTTAATTTCAGTTGGCTTCGCTATTCCATTGCATTAAAATGGGGGGTTAGAAGCTTGCTATGTATCCAAGATTCTAAATCATAACATTATACTTTTATGTTTTTAAGCCATTTGATAAGTAAGGGTAAACTTTGTTTCTTTTTCTTCCTCTAAACTTCAAATTTAACTCAGTCCTTAAAGAGTTCATTAATGAGATAGCATCTCGGGGAAGAATGAGATCTCAGTTCACTGATGTCTTACTGAGTTTTCTCAGCACATTTCATTATAATGAGGAAATTGTGCCAAAGTAAAATAATAGGTAGCTTGAGAACACCAAGAAACCTAATGGTAGAGACTATTAACATAGAGGAAAAGACAGAAGAATGCTGAGTCCCATTTCACCTCTAACTACCTCTTTGGCAGTTAATTATGTCTTTGAGAGCAGTTCACTTTGTCTCTGACTCTCGAATTTCTTCTTTGTAAAAATTGTGAGTGATAGTATGTCTGTCAAGGGGAGAAACCATGAACTATCTTTCAAATTTCAGGAATATTTTTCTCATTGTGCTTGGTTCTGACAGAATCATTTAGTTCTACTACCTAAAATTATCTCTACTCTCCACTCCTCCTACCCGCATGTACACATCCTCAGAGACTTGCAAGAGAAATACTCTTAAGTCTTAAAACATTCCATTCCTCCTACTCTGGACTGGCCTACGACAAAACTGAGAATAGAAATTAGTCTGCTCTTAGGATTATTTATGTGTCAGAAACTCTCATGTAATACTAACATCTAACACTAACCACATGAGTTAGGTATTTTACAGATAAGGAAATGGAGAATCAAAATATTTTAATTAATTTGCCTAATGTCACATGACTAATAAAAGGTCTGATTTCAAAGTTCCTGTTCTTTCCATTTTATCACACTGCCTTGTATAGACTTGCTTCCTCACCCTTAACCTCACCTCCACTATGACATTGCATGAGAAAGAGACAACCTACATTTTCTCTTACCTGCTTCTTCACACTGACAAGGTCACCTGTCTGGTTTCTATCTAGGAATGCTTTTTTTTTTTTTTCATTTGATAAGAATCTAATAATCTATGCCAATAGGCTTATAACCATCCTTTCTCTTGTGAAACATATAAGGATTTTAAGAGTGGTCTTTTAGCTAAAAATAAAGTAATTCAAAAGAGGAATTCTGATTCGATTATCCTGCTTCCTTCATATATGTATAGCTCAAATCACCAGTAATTGTTTTTCCTACTTTTAGGATTTTTCCAGCTCTGCTTGAAGGCTCCACTGTCTTCTTTTAGGGGTCCTCTTTTATCTACTTAAAAATTCCCCTAAAGGCTTCCTTAAAGAGATATGTTTTAATTTAATTTCATCCAACCCTGATTAAGAAATTCTTAGGGTTTATAAAGCTTTTATAATAGAAACTGGCTTATGGGGTTTCTGAACAGAAAAGCCTCATTACCAGCATGTCTATTTACTTATAATTTACTAGTAATTAATTCTCATAATAATGATCCTGTACTTGTATTAGTTTCCTATGGCTGCTGTAACAAATTACCACAAAATTATTGGCTTAACACAACACAGATTTATATCTTATCATTCTGGAGGTCAGAAGTCCAAAATGTAGTAACATGGAGGTTTCGGCAGGGCTGTGTTCCTTTCTGGATGCTCTAGAGGAGAATCAGTTTCCTTGCCTTTTCTAACAAGCGGAGGCTGCCCACATTCCTTGGCTTGTGTGCCTCTTTCAGCCAGCAATCACATCTCCTCTCACTCTCCTGCCTCTTCCTTTCTCTTATAAGGCCCCTCATGATTATATTGGGCCCACTAGGATAATCCCAGATAATCTTCCCATATCATGATCTTTAATTTACTCACAGCTGCAAAGTCCCTTTTGCCATATAAAGTAATATTCACACATTGCCAATGACTTGGACATGGACATTTTAGGGGTGAGGTTGGGGGGCACATTATTCTGCCTACTTCAATAATTAATATTAAATTAATTTCATTCTAGCACATACATAAAAAGTATAAGAGCCTATATCTATAGATAGATGATACATGTGTGATATGTATATATGAGTATACTTCATGAATTTATTAACTAGTTCTTTGTTCAGGCTGGAAAACAGACTTTTCATTTTATATGTGTACTTGAATCATTTCACAAATATACATTTTCATCTTTTCAGATTCATTATCCAGATCCATTTTTATGCCCTTTTCCCCTTCCTAGAGCCTACTAATATACATGTAAGTTTACAATAGCATCATTAAGTTGACTCTGCATTCTTGAAGTAATCATCTCTTCAAGGCATTTGCATTTTGGAACCTGGTTTTTATGGTAAACAAACCAATTCCTGGTTTTCTGGGTACAAAACAATTATGAGAATATGAAAAATTCACATGGAAATTAATTGGAATGAACGCTTTGTAATTATCAAATCTAAATTGTTATTTCCATATAACCATTTATTCAACAAATACTTATTACTAGCCTGCTATGATCTAATCTTTGGGGGTATAACAGTGAACAATAAAGACTTTTCCTATCACTGAGCACATTTGGGTAAGGAGGACAAACAAGCAAATAAATGAACAAACAAAAATATGATATGTACTGTTGAGTGAAGCAGATTGGGGGCTGGGACAGACAAAAATGGCAGTGGGGAAGTGACTTTACGTAATACTCTGTGGGAAGGCAACTTTTAAAACTGGTACCTAATCTGAGACCTGAAGATAAGAAGCAAATCATGCAAAAAGCTAGAGGAGGAACTTTTCAGGCAGAGGGAGCCTGCCAAGTGCAAAGATCTTGAGGCAGGAATATTGTGGCTATGTTTTAGGAAGTGAAAGAAGGCCGGAGTAACTGAAGTCTAGTAAGTAGGGGAGAGTG